CACATACGATGGAATTCATACTCAGATTTATTTCATTTATATGAGTCAAAATAGAACTTATATGATCAACATGTTTAAAATTTTATGCATTTACTTTTATGAAATAGTGGGTTAAGTTCGAAGATTTATATATACTGTAAATGAATAATAATAAAATAGCTTATACCGAATGAGCTATTTTAAATATTATGAGTTGCAGCTAATGCCAACTTACAATGGAACTGATTTTTGACTTTATTTTTTATCTTTTTATTTCTTTTATGCGGCAAACAGTTTACAGTTAGGTTTAACTATCATCATTGTTACATGATTCGCTGTCCTCAGGCATCATGTAAGACTGAAGCTGTTATTGCGTAGACTAAATTCAAGGGAAAATATTTAAAAGAAAACGGTTTTCCACTTTTCGGAGAACGGTTCGCAGTTTTTAGAAAACGGATACTTTTTATAACTGAAAAGAGAACGGATGACATTGTTTGGAGAATGGTTTTTAAATTTGTATCATTTCTATCGACTACTTTCCAATCGCGTCTGGCTATAATTTTAGACTGTGTTGAGTTTTAGAATTGCTCGTGTTTTCTGCGTATTTATACTTATGTTTTGTTGAAAGATGATGAAATCCATGGCCCAGCCACGGTCACGAAAAAGGTCTCTCAAGTCAAATCACACCCAAAACATTTTTCGATCAAGTCAAATCAAGTCAAGTCATACTTGACTTAGACTTGTGGCATTTTTGACTTGACTTGTCCAGCTCTGCTGACAACCCGGAACTTGTGGTATCCTTCCCTTTGTTTATGGTCTACTTTTTTTAGTAATTTCCAGATTACAATGTTCCAACGTTAAGTGCAGTATAGAGGAGCTTCACCAATTTAGTTCCGAGAGGGGCTGTCCTGATAAGGTTTTATATTTATTTTTCGTAGAAAAATACGATAGAGATCCAAGACCCTATAGAAGAAACGAGGTTATTGATACTGGGTTTAACCGGTTCAAGTACAAATGGAAATTCTAAAAGTACAGAATTAAAAAACAAACAGACTATATATTTTTAGGTAAATCATCAATTTTAAAGATCTTGTTACGAAGAAATTTTGGTGTAAGTAGTGCTATAGCATAAAAAAACGATATTTGAACCATATCCGCCATTAGTTACTTATGATGGTAAACAATTTGTAATAAAAGCATGTGATACAAGAGGCTTAAATAATCCGAATGCAACAGATGATAATTACTTTGAAGCAATAAAAAGTTCAGATTCATCTCAGTTAATTTAATTAATCGTGTAGTAGTTTTCTGTAAGCAAGACAGAATAAGAGCTGATGTACATACCAGCATTTAACATTCATTAACATTCTTTGATGGTTATAAACAAGCGCAAATTGATAATTATATTACCGAAATGAAGGACATCTATTATCTGGTGATCTACTCACATTTGAATCACAAATTATTGTTACAGCATTATCTGAATTAACACCATTAGAGGATGATTTTAGGGAAGTGTTTGAAAGCCGTCGTGGTAAAATCGCAGAAAATATTATTTAGTATTATCACAATATGTTAAGCCTGTAGCAATAATGACATATGAAAAGTCCATGCAATAGATTGAAAACCAGACAGCTAAAGAAAGAGAAGTTGTCACAGCTGAAAGCGATCAATTAAAAACTGAATTTCGTCAAAAAGCTGAACGGCTTCGAAAAGAATTAACCGATAAAACACAAGAGTATGAAAAAATTAACACAGACCTACATGCATTTAAAAAAGCATGTAGTAATAATGGTCCAATCAGTGATTAGTTATTTTTAATTATTCCAATTAAATGATTATTCTTTTTTGTTGTGTCAGACTTCTCACGCAGGTATATCTAGGTATGCACCAGTACCAGTATTCATACTGGTATGCTGGGCACTCAAATAGTTTGGTCACTCAGTATACTGGGTGTCTGTATATATCCACATTAAAGTATGTCAAATATATTACTAACTATTATTATCATCTATTACTATTACTTACCCCCTCAGAAATTATCTCCGACACCGTGCATCCGATCTTGACGAAACTTTCAATAAATGTTAGGCACAATGAGTTACGGGAATAAAAAATTTGTTTTGTCTCCAAGTCTTACGGTTTAGGAGTTTTCCAGAGATCAAGGTCCATCGAGGACCCCGAAGTGGGTCCCAAGGTTTTTTAATATACTTCAAGCTGGAGAGTTCGGGTTTGTTTTATTTTAAACTAGACACCTAACTACATGGACTGGCAGGCGCCGATTTTTTAATTAAGCCTTTATTGATTTTCCAGGCAACCAACAACCTCCAAAACCCGAAAATTCCTTCCGAGTTTTCTAAAAATCTTCAATTTGACAGAAAACTAAGACCTAATTCTAAAATTGGCTCTTGTCAGTCCATGTAGTTTCTTTTCCTCTTTTAAACAAGAAAAGAATGAACTCTCTACGACAAACCGCTATTAAAAATCTTGGGACGCACTTCAGATATAACTTCCATCTAGAGAAAACGCTGTATAAAATGCTCAGTTTTAGGACTTCTAGAAAAATGCCTGTAACTTTTTGATGCAAGGTCAAACAGAGTTGTGCGAGGTCTTATTTTGATCAGAAACGTTTGCTCTACAAAGCTGTATGTTTAGACAAATTTTAATTGCATAAGAATCCAGGAAAAAACTACTATTTGAAGACCCTTTTTCGAGGCTCCTAGAAAACTTGCTCAAAATCCGAGAAAAACCACTTTTGTAACCAAAAGCGATACAGATTCTGGAAGTAGACACTTCAGGCTATGTTTTCATGTGCTTATCTCAAAACAGACTTTTTGACAGAAAATCACAATTTCTGAGGGCGGGGGGGGGGGCCCTTAAATTATAAAAACTTGTTTACGTGCTTGTTTTATTTACGACTGATGTTACTAAAGAGATGGCTTGAGAAGAGAAGACGACCGTGCAGATAAAAAACATGTGACAATGGTAAAACTAGAAGTATTTCTGTTCGTGAGCGTATGCTGGTGATTGAGTTAACAAGCCAAAAAGTGTTGTGTGAAACTTAAAAACTGTTAGATAGCTCATTCTCTTAAAGGACCTTGCCTAATTTAAAAATGTGAAACGATCAAAAAGCTCAACAGCAGGTCTGATAGAGAATTTTATTGCGCATCTAACCATATATAATTTTGGTTTGAAACTATGATCGTTTCTCAAAAAATAATCTTTTAAAATGTTTGACAATTTACTCACATGAGATGAAAAACATTTTCGAGCAAAATTTGAAATTTTCATTTTTCATACGCTTCACTAAAACTTCTATAGCAGTCTAATCTATAGAAACAATCTATACAAACCAATCTAGTTTTTTCTTTGAAGAGACCGAGCCAAGTTTTGTACTTCATTAGAACCATCATTTAACGAGCTTTAAAACTACATATCGCTTTGTTTGTCACTGAGAAAGTTCGTATTTTCTAAATCAGGAGCGCAAAAATCGAAATTCTGTTGATATTCTCAATTTTATTCATCAGGACTAAAGTTTTATGCAATAAAAATATCATATTCGAAATCAGCGTCGCAAACTAACTCGAACGATATTCGACACTGTTTGTTTATTTTCATTTTTTGGTGAAAATTATTTTCAACAAAAAATGCAAATTTGAAATTTTGCTCGAAAAATATTTTTTTCTCAAACAACAAGCATGTTCTTTTAATTCTTTTATCGTCAGTTTATAGTGCGTTTTCCACTCTGCAAAATCCGGTATAAACAGTATCTTCACTATACTTTCTTACTGAGTTGAAAACCCTTTTTTATCTCATGTCAGTAAATTGTCAAATATTTTAAAAAATTATTTTTTGAGAAACGATCATAGTTTCAAACCAAAAATTATATATGGTTAGATGCGCAATAAAATTCTCTATGACCTGCTATTCAGCTTTTTGATCCGGCAGGGTCCTTTATTTTGTCAATATTCTTAATCACTTTTGGGTAGCACAAGTGTCACAGGTTTTATCGCTTATTTTACTTTACACAGAAATAAACATACATTCTTCAAATGCAGTTTTTTTTGTCATCACAAGATTCAAAAATAGAACCCACACTCCTCTCGAAGTACTTCAATTATTCTATATAGTATGTAAGTTTTATGAGAGGGAG